CTGGAGTATTTTCAGAAATTCACTACTGAAAGCAAAGAATATATTTTCACTTTCTACTCTTTCATTTTTAGTAACTCACTTCTCTCATCCAAAAGCAAAATTCTCCACTTTTCACTTTATATTTCATTATATCGTTTCATCGGAATTCAACGAATCAAGAAGGAATAAACTTTATTCACATTTTAATTGTTTAATGCATTAAAGATTCAAGTGCTTAGTGTTTAATTCATTACAGATTCAAGCATTTCGATATAAAGTTGAGATCTGTCGTTTAATTTTAGTGTCCAAATGACTGTCCATTCAATGAATTATTGATATTTCATTAATAATTAATATATCATCTCAAAATTACTTTCATTAACTTCACCGCTAACTAATCAAATTGATGACATGTCAAAAATTCATTGAGTGGACAATTATTTGGACAACATATATCATCACTTCAAAATGACATGTTAAATAAAAGGATTTCTCAATGAAATAATTCACATTCACGTGATGACGTTACCAACTTTTGAAAAATATTTTTATAAAGAAAATATTAATCAAACATTCCAAAAATATGAATTTTGGTAAAAACATTACATTTTCACGTAAAATAAAGTCGATCAAACACATCCTTAATTATCGTAAGCAAATTCTTTGCATTTTTGTGTCATGGTTTCTGAAATCTAGTTGAAAGTGAGGTAGACTGTTATTTTTTATTTTTTTAAAATCATCGCTAAGATGTAAAATACTGTTGAGAGAAGTAAAAAATGCTTCTAGTTTTTCTAATGGCGAGTAATGAGTATCTATGACAGAATTAAACATGATATTTAGACAATTCTAAACTATCAAGTTCAAGTGCATACTACTTAAAAGTCAACAAACAAAATATTTAGACAATTCTAATTATCTATATGCATTTTTTGATGAAACGTCGAAACTTGGTCATGTTTGGTCTAGATTAAAATCAGATTGTTAGAGCATCTTCGATATTGGTATACAATTAGGCGTAAATTGATATCTTCAAAATCACTTTTACATCATCATTTACATTCGATGGATCTAAATTCAAATTCTGCTTTGTCTCTTACAAATGTAAAAAAAGATGTAAATTTACACACACACACACACACACATATTTAAATTTCTATTTTACACCACTATTGAATATGCTTTTAATTGATTTTAATAAAAGTTAATGAGATGTATGATAAAAAAATCAACAAAAGTGATTAGTCTTACAATATGTGGTTAAAAATGAATTTGGGAAAAAAATAATTTTAAGAAATAGGGCTTGGTTAAATAAATTACATTGTCCAATATCACATGGAATAAAGCAAAAAAAGGAAAAGGTTCGAAAGGAAGTGCTGGAGTATTTTCAGAAATTCACTACTGAAAGCAAAGAATCTACTTTTCCATTTTTAGTAATTCACTTCTCTCATCCAAAAACAAAATTACCCTCGTTAACTTTACTATTAACCAATCAAATTAATGACATGTCAATAATTCATTAGATGAACTGCCATTTGGACCGTAGATATTATCTCTACGATAAACGTGTTAAATAAAAGAATTTCTCAAGAGAATAATTCACATTCACATTTTAAATTACTTTTTTCACTACTTTAGAATATTACTTTTACTTTTGGACCATTGAGCTCTCCAAGAATGTTACTTTCACTCTATCTTGACGCTATATTTTCCTTAGCGGCACCAAGAAGAATAATAATTACATTTATAATTAGAAGGAATCATCGTCGATTTAGATAGCAGTAAACCCCTTGATTGAGTGAATTTTTTAACAATCATGCTACAAGTACACTTTTTTTGACATCAAGTTTGACAATGTGCCACATGTTGTAGGTTGAGAGGCCAGTTTTTAAACACCACACACTTTCCCGCCCGTTCAAATTTGAATTAACATGGATTGTCAACCATAGATTGTACACAAAGCATTATTCATTTTTTAATGTATCTCGAGCTCATTACCACCTAAATAGATAATGATATTTAATGATAAATGACATTATTCCTTCAATAAACATTTCTAAAATTTCAAAATTTGAACCTTTCTATCCTGTCCAAGGCAATAAAAGAAAGGCGATGTGTATACCTTTTTGGCTTTTTCCCATCTGTCTGGTCTTTTTTAAATTAAAATAATCCTAGTTGACACATAAAAATATATATATATTTTTTTTCGCTATACTGAAAAAGAAAAATAGCTTCTAGTATCATACCTATAAAAAGGCAAAAGTTTTATAGATTACCGATCACACTTTCTCCTTGCATCTTATCCATAATAGCAAGATGGTCCACAATTATTTTCTTGTATGATGAATGTGTGTGTTTAGTTTTATCCAGTTATCCTTCTCCTTTTTCACTGTTTCATTCTTCGTGTTTTCGTTCACTTCCTTGCTAGATCTGAAGAAAATGTTCCCTCCAGAAATTATAACAGACATCCTTTCACGCTTACCAGTGAAATCTCTATTGCGATTCAGGTGTGTCTCGATATTATGGTGTTCTATAATAGACAGCCAAGATTTTGTTAAAATGCACTTGCATCAATCCATATCAACGAATTCCAATCACAGTCTCATTCTTGGAGGCCTGGGGCTTTATTCCGTAAATTTGGATTCACTCGACGGAGCCCACGTCGTGAAACCCCCATTCTATTATAGGAGTTCTGACTGTATATCCAATTCGTGTAATGGGTTAATTCTTGCAAGGAGCGAGCCACCTGTATTGTGGAACCCCTTTTCCAGAAAATACAAGATTTTACCCGAGGCCCTGATCGAGCATCCATCTCCTTTATTATGTTTTTCTAAGGTTATTTATGCGCTTGGTTACAATTCAAGAAATGATGATTATAAAGTTGTTCGGGTAGTTGAATTTAGGAACGAAGAAAGCCACATGTGGGAATACTCCGAGACTCAAATTTATAGCCTGAAATCGAATTCTTGGAATAGTGTCGAGGGTTTTCCTTATCCACTGCCCTATTTGAAAGGAAATTGGGGGGTGCATGTCAACGGGGCGTTGCATACACTTGTGGAGGATTCTTTCCATCTATATTCAGACAAATCAGTTAGAATTATGGCTTTTGGTGTTGAGAATGAGAACCATTATGAGGTCATGCTGCTACCGGAGATTAGGATCAAGGGAGTTAACATGAAGTTGGTTGTGCTAGGAGGGTGTCTCTGTTTAGTTTGTGCTAACAAGTCTCGTGCTAATATATGGGTGATGAAAGAATATGGAGTAGTGGAATCTTGGACTAAATTGATGTCAATTGGTTACGAAACGGCTGATCCAGACGAGCTATTGAAGCCATTGACTTATTTGAAGCCATTGGTTTATTCAAAGAACGGCGAAAAGGTTCTTCTAAATTGTGATGAGAAAAGGCTCGTTTGGTATGATTTGAGAGGAAAATCTATCACAAATGTCTTTGTTAGTGGTTTGCCCTTTGTGTTATATCCTGAGGTTTGTGTTGAAACCCTTGTTTCCCCTGGTGACCATGCCCTGGAGAAAGTTGACGGGGTCAAGAAACAAGAGAAATGGAAGGAAAAGAAAAACAAGAAGAATAGGTACAGCGACTCCATATAAGGAGTTAATAACTTGACATTTTCTAGTCAATTTATTATATGTGTATATCTCTGTTTTGTCTGCTGTCGACTTGTACAATACTTATGGAGTCAATGGCATATTATTATTTGGTTTCAGGTCACAGATTTGTTTTATTTGGTTTTTACCGCTACAGTTTTTCTGCGTTAATTGTTAAGTTTCCATAGATACATGAAAAATCTGTAGATTAATGTAAATGGGTCTAAGTAATAAATCTTCTCTCTGTATCTTTAAGTTTTTATTGAACCTGAAATGTAATTCTACCTTACGTTTACCCTTCTTTTCTTTTTTTTTAGAGATGATTTCCTGTCAGAGAGGTTCAAGTTGGTGCTGTGAGCAGGGGATGAAATTGGAAGGAACAGAGGAGATAGGTTAATTTCTCAGCTTTTACTACGTTGTTAACTTGATTCTAGTAGAATACTCTCTTTCTCGAAAGCATACTGGTATGCTAATGGATCCAGTTTATTAACTTGATGTTAATTGCTAACTTTACCTTTCATGGAAACTTCTATATTTTTACGTTTCTTGTTGCCCTTGTTCGAGCTCTATTCTTAAAAACTCATTTTCAATCATAGATTTTCTTGAAACTTGTTGCCTAGTTTCTTTGGCCAGAACTGCTTTGTTTCCTACGTGATAAATCATTTCAAATTCTAATTAGATAGTATCCATCTGCATTTTTCTTCCTTGCCTTCTTCAATTTTCGACACGTTCATATAATTTACTTTCAGTTTTTATCTTTTCTTAAAAATCTATGATGCATTTTTCTTTTTAGAAATCTTATATGGTGTGCTTTTGTTGATTTTATTACCTTATTTATCCAACTAAGTTTTTCTGTCTACTTTTTATTTTGCGGGGAAGGATAATTTCGAGAGCCTAGCTCACTCTCTATTCTTATTTTATAATGATTGCAGTTAATAAGTTATATGTTTCCATACTCTATTATTTAAGTTATTTAAATCATATTTGAATTGATTGACAAGCATATAAAAAAATTATATTAAATAAAAGATTAGGAGAAATCAATAAATATTTCTTTAAAAACGAAGAAAGCATGTTTGAAGTTGTTTATAAACGGTAAGTGGGCACTACTTGTGGGTTCGATGAAATATGCAGATAAAAAGTTGTTTGATCGATTATAAGTACTTCATAAACAATATCCAAACAAGGGCTTAATTAGTATTCATGCAAGTGAGAATTATTGATTTATTTACTTTTACGGCTGATGTAAATATTTTTTTAACGACGTGTTTGATTGGTATAGAAAATATTTCATAGAAAAGAAAATACTTTTCTTGTTTTCAGAAAAATAAAAACCCAAAGAAAGTGTTTTTCTCAAACATAAGAAAAACTAGGCATATTTTCAAAGGTTGGAAAATATTTTTCAATTTTCTTAGAAAAAAATAGCAATCAAACACTAAAAAAGTTGAAATTTGGGTGGAAAACAACAATTTTCCAATCAAATACGCCCAAAATCTAACTTAATCTGTTGTTTCAGATTTATTTATTACTTTATTTTAGCGTCAATAAATGAATCAAATGATTTGATAAGTGGAATAAATGCTCGTACATAAATTGAAGATGATATCTTGACAAGTTTGTCAATCAAATATCTCATATCATCCCATGAAGAATTCAATAAAACTAAAAAGAACACAAAGATTTATGTAGTTCGGTGCCAGTGTAGCAACATACATACACGAGGAGGTCTAGCAACATACATGCACGAGGAGGTCGCTCAAAACTGAAAAAAAAAATATTTTCGTGGAAATTTCAATAACTTTCTGAATTTCTGAACAAATTATGTTTGAATAGCAATGGACCGATTCAACACATTCGCTCTAATGCCATGATGACTTCAATAAAACTAAAAAGAACACAAAGATTTACGTGGTATAGCGTCAGTGTAGCAACCTTCATCTATTGAAGAGATGAGCTTGTATATTATTCACTCATCCACGGGAGAAGAGATGAGCTTGAATATTAGTCACGTATGTTTGAAGTTTACAATGAAATATATATAGTTACATTACATCAAGGTTGTCTTATTAAGGATGAGGCATTCAAGAAAAGAAAATAGGGCCATAATATTCTCCAATGTTAGCAAATCCTTCAAATGTGTCTCTTCTCCAACATCCTGGCATTCAATTGATGTACGAGTTCTGCTACTGTAATTATGAATTACCTTTTTAGACTAGAAAACTTAATATTTATGGTCTGATAGAATTTCTTCTCAGAAAATTGATTACAAGGATAGGAAGTCGAAGGCTGTGGTTGATTGGTGTTACCGATGGTTTTGCTCCTATCGTTCGTCTCTGAAATTACAGTTTTCAAACAGAACGCGAACTTTCATACTCTCTGAGCATAGTTTTCTGGTAAAGACTTCTAGGGCTGTTGCTTCTTTCAATATAGTTCCCGTCGATGAAAGAATAAGAAGACGAGAAGACAGACCTTTATGTGTAAGCCCCTTTAGAGATGAGAGTAATTTGAACTTAGGGCCATTTGCCAATTTGAGAGCTTGATTTTGATTATTAAATGTTAGTAATGGTGCTCAGAGGACTCTTTGTTTTTGCAATTATAGACTAATGCAATGAATTTGTGAAAAATCAGTGTTGAGGAATTTGTAGCTATAATTTTCATTTAACTTTATCTTGTCAAAATGTGTAGCATCACAGTGTTTCGTAGCACTTGTTCAATTGTTCCAATTCTGTAGCATTTCACTCTCCAACAGAATGTTTTTGTCGTTAGAATATCACGTGCAACCATAGTTATCAAACCCTACTCGAACATGAATTCAGTCGAGATATTAGGTCACTGGTTGAACGGTATGTCGATGTTTGAAAAATCATGTAAAAGTTTTGAAAGTGTAAAAAAAAAAGGATTTGAATTTTTAAATTGTTTATCACTAAATTTACATTGTTGTTATATGTTTACATTTTATTTGTAATTTTTTATTAAGGAATTAAATTTATTTGTAGCTAAAATTTATCCCTATACATGTTAACAAAAAAATAAAAAACATAGTAATTTGATAACTAAAAACCTAGTAAAATAATTACTTTAAATATTTGTATTTGATAATTTAAAGTTATATGCCATGTACTAGAATGTAATAATTTTGTTTCAATAAAAATGACAACGGTTCGATTCGGGGTCGGTTCAGCCAAAAGCATAACCGCACCACTAACTTTTTGGTCATACCATAACTGCACCATAACCACGTAAGTCAGTTTGATTCGGTTAATAACCACGAAAATAAATTATTTTTTATAAGTTCAAACTCCAACCGTCAAATGACTCAAATTGAAAAAAAAATATGAAGAAAAGTCAATAAAAATAAAAACACAATATTAAGCCAATTTAGCAAACAATATCCCAAATGAAAATGCAAACAATATCCGAACTTCCAAATGCAAAATTCAAATTTAACAAACAATATTATCAACATAGGTGAAAACTCTTACTAGTATAGGTCAATCTTCATTATTCCCCAAAACTCTTACTAGTATAGATCAAGAGTCAAGACTTAAAATTGATTCATATATATATAAGCATGACACACATTTAGTCCATTATTTTGTAAGTTCTATTTCTATTTCTCCCAGGGAAGTTGCTAGCCTGCTAATTTTTCCTTCAAACAGGGAACCTAATGATATCAGTACATCTCGCTGTTTTACTCAAAACTCAAAAGTAGAGACCCTATACAAACAATGAAATTACATTATCAAAACCTGATCCCCCTTGGAAAAATTTATTCGGAAACATCAATTTTGGGAAATAGCTCAAGAATATCATACATGGAACCATAAATGTACAAAGATAACTTACAGTTTGGAAAATGAGGGAAAGAAAAGCACGCAGATGATCACGGAATGGATTACAAGATTACTCTGAAATTACGCATAATAGATTAAAAGATTACGCAGATGACCCCATGGCAAGACATCTCAGATCTGATTGCTGAAAAACAAGATTTAGGTAAACTGGAAAAGAACAAAATAGGGTAAAAAAAAGTGGAAGAGTGTTTTGTAATGTTAATTGGGCTAACATTTTGGGAAAGCCCAAATCCCATTTGTCAAAATTGTCCAATTAATTTTGGGTAATGAAAAATCCAATTGATCATTTTTTTTAAACGGGTAATCGATTCGGGGTGGGGCACCATCGCTAAATACCATACCCGCCCCACTACGAATCGGGTCATTAAAATCAAAACCATAACAACCCCCATTGCACCATCGGTTCCATTTTTTTTTGTCCCATTCGGTTCGATTAATCACGATTTTCGCTTTTAACAGTTCGAATTGTCATCCCTAATAAAAATGGATTTCAATTAGTTAAAAGATAGCAAGAAAATGGTGCTTTGTTTAGAGAGTATGTTAAATGTATCAAAGTAGAAGCTGTGTGGACTATGATGTAGTGGTTTTGGTTGCAATTCTTCAAAATGGTGGTCTGATTTTCAATCCTTCATCCTAAGAGTAAAATTAAGTGCTTATTTGAGATAGGTTAAAAAATTGAGATCAAAGAGAACAATTATGCACATTTTTTGGGATCCACATTATTTAAACAACTTTTAAACAACATGTCTCATCAACTTTTTATCAAAATTTAAAACATTTATCGTAATCTTTCTCAAACAACCCTTAAATTTTAAAATTGGACAAGCCTATTCTCGATAAAACATGTTTGACTGGGTCAATTACAATTCGAATTGGACATGTGGACCAGATCGATAACAATGCTTGCAACATCAACATGTAAAACAAATGATTTTGATAATGACAAAAAAAAAAAAAGGAGAAAGAAGTGGAAAATATATACAAAAAGAGTAGTCCTTGAAACCGTGTGGATCTAGGGAGGGTGCGATCCAGTTTGATTTCCAAGAGAACTCAAACGAACTGGTTTGGTCCAACGATTTTGATAACTTTTGCACACCCATGGCTACATCTTGACTTTTCTTTCCACATAGTATACTAATATTACATACAGTAAAACATATATAAAATAATAATGTTAGGATGGAGAAAAAAATATTATTTTAGAGGGATTATAAATTGATCGATAAATGAATAATTTATATAGTATTTTTAGAACTTGTATTATATTTGACCATAATTCATGTAGGAAATGTAAAGAAAAATATATTGAATGTGGTGAAACTTAAAACTTACAATAAGTCTATTTGTACACAAGAGGTTGACAACCTCTCACATGTATGAGGGGTCCGCATTTTTAAAAAGTTCAAAAAAGAAGGGTAATGCTAGTGGTACATCACCACTAACATAAGGGTCTACATAATGGACACCTGACGCTCTTTCATTGGAGGGAGGGTTGGTGGGGTC